GCGTCGTTAAGACGTAACCACCGCCGTTTCGCTAACTTGCGGTCAACGAAATGCTGTCGAGAACGAGGTTAGGCTTAACCAGTCGTAATCGTTACACCAGATCGGTCTGGTGCATCATGTCAACCAGAACGGCTCGGTACGGATTGCCCCACTCTGTGTCCCCCCCGTTGAATCCCCAGAGCGCACACTGCACGAAAGAGTGATAATTGCTGGTCTCGTGAGGAAGCAGTGAAGCTTCTAGACCAGATCCCAAACCGCTTCGTGATTTGTCGTACAGACACCGAGGGTCCTCTCAAAGCAAAACCGCAGGAGTCCGTGACCGTTCGTCTCAAGCCCACTGCCATGCCATAAGTACCGTCCTGGGTGACTTCAATTTATATTATCAGAGCCACGGCTTTCGCACCTGACCGTGATATGAGCACTTGCGTACGAAGTACAAACGTTTCGCATAAAGTCAGCGGAGACAGGGCTTACCTCAACAGGGTGGAGGGACAGACCCTTTTCCCATTGCTCCTTGTCTTTGGACTTTTTAGCGTTGACAATCTGGTTCACGCCCCACCGCATCCCCTCCGGTGTGCGGTAATAGTAGCGCTGACCCACCTCGTGCAACTCGTTGGCAGGGCACATGCAAATGCTGCATGGCGCATTTGTTTGATTGCCGTCCTTTGTACACGTCACCTGCACACAAGGTAAACTTGAATATGGCGGCTGTCTCTCACGATTGGAGGCTTAAACTGGTGTTCGACTTCGGTTCCCGACATTGTTCGAGTCTCTAATGGCCCTTGGAAACCTCAAAACCCACTTGGCGTACATCCCCTTCGAGCCTGACCACATGGAACTCAAGCAAACGAGCTGGAAGTATGGACGAGCTTCGCACGGGTCATCAAGCGGTCGGAATTCACATTGGTGCAATGGAACTGGAACCCCAACGTTTGAGAGCATAGGAAATTCCACCCGCATTCCTCTTAGCCGGGACGACTGCCTGGCTTACCTTGCATCCCTCGGGATGATCACAGATGTAGGCATATAGCAACGGGTAGAAGAACTTGTCACCTCCGTCAGGATCCTCGGCCACGAACCCGCTGCAAAATAATGAGAAGAAGTGAGCTTGAATCTGGGTTAAAACTGCATAACGAGAAACCATGGATAAAGTGCTCTCAGGTCACGATCGACATTCTCCTAAGCCCAAGAGCAACCAGCCTAAACTCACTCAATTATCCGGCATTATGTTCAGAATGATCCTCTTAGTACACCGCATATCTGCTCAAAACAACGCCTATGGACATTGGGATCACTGAGAAGAAAGGTGGAATGCCAATAAACATGGAAAGAGCTGTCATGCTACCGTCAGAGCATATCAGGTCGACTCACTCGAAGCTAGCGTCCTTGAGTGGCTGCAAGAACCTTCCCAGGCATTGTTGAAACACTTGCAGCCCCCGCAGAGTGAACTCAGGGGAGTTGGGCTCAAAACCTGCAACATAGACCAAGTCATTATAGAGTTCGATTCAACTTTACAATGCATGTTCTTTCGTGAAGTCCCGAGTCTAGTGCATCTGGTTAACATTCCTGCGATTGAAGCAGGGCATGTCCTTTTTGAGACGAAGACAATCAGTGCTTGCTTGCTGCTTCCTTGACCCTCCACCACCAAAGTTTTGAGGCCCCGCTCACCAGAATGACCAGAGACAGCGTGCAGAATAGGAAAGATGGCCCCCAACGCGTGCCCCCCTTCTTCATTCCGGCGCTCCACAGCAATGTTGGCTAGGCTGAGCACGAGTGGCCACCCATGCGTACGCATGTCGTTGGACAGCGTCGTCGCGTCGCTGTACAGGATGAGCGCTGCGATGATTGAACCCCAACGGTACTTTGCATCGATGTGGGCTGCAACAAACATCAAACGTACTTTAAAGCTCAGGGACTAGCTTTGAGGAGCAAGTGAAAGAGGGACCCACAGCTACACAACCAATACACAGGTGGGGCCAGTGCAAAGTTCAAAACCTGCAGATCTGGCCGTGATGGGGAACAGAAACTGAGAGCCATGTGACATAACCTGTTCCAAACCAGCAACGAGTTCCCCGGAAGCAAGTTGCAGTCCACCTTCAGGAAAGTTCCGATGCATACTGAAGACGCCTGAGCTCAAATCTGCGAACAGCAAACTGGACTGTGCCAAGCGCCTTCTAAAGGGGAGGTGGCACAACTTCGCTGGACAATCATTGTCAAAGAAAATACTTCGATTGACGACAGGACTGCAAAACCTGAATCCTACCTGCGCTTCTTCCCACCACGTCGCAGTCTCTGGATCGCTCACGGTCCTCCTTCCCTGTGCATCTTCTGTTCTGCGTGGCCCACACGCAAAGCCTTCGGAGTTTGCCGGAAAAGCAAGAAGCTCCTTCAGAATTTCAATTGGGTTGCGCATTCGGAGCAAGATGGGATATGGGTCTCCTTCTTTGGACAAGTCAATGGTCGTCCAGCCCTGCAACAACGCACAATTGATTGACTCAGCAATGCATCAGAAAGAATCTGAATTGAGATCAACATGATCGACTCACAATCTCAAAACCCTGGCTGCAATCTCTGATGGTCGCCGCCGTTCACTGGTTGGCTCAAAGATGCAACTGAGATTTGGAACTCGTACCACAAGCATCTGCAATATTGTAGCTACTGGCACAAGACACAACACAGCCGCATGACAAAAGCATGAAAAACCATAATCATCATGGTTTCTGGCTTGAAGATCGGACCAGCTGCAATCAAGGAATTTCAAAGCAGTATCTCGCTCTTGACTTTTTCTGTCAAACCCCACTGCAATCCAAGATGTGACACTTCTCAACGACCGTCATATCTCGTGACAGTTTGTGCAGACTAAGCCTGTCAAACATCAACAATTAAGAGGATAAAAAGCTCACATCATCCTGGCTGAAAAGCACCTTCTCCTCGAACTTCTTGATGTCCTGAGGCGAACGCACTTTCACCTTGGACAAGTCAAAGTTTTTGAAGAACAGCAGATCAATGAGACTCTTAGTATCTTCTTGTGCAGGCTGGCAACGTTGTTTCTACAGTGTCGGATGAACTCCACTAGCTTGAGCGTCTCGCGGGTTCCCTCATCCAGCTCTGGGAATCTGCTGGACTCTGGATCTCCGATTGGATCAGAAAAGTAGCTACGCCCAGCAGCAAATGATTGCTCTCTTGCACCACTCGCTTCATCGCCTTGATGAGATGGCCTGGCAGGAAACCCTTCCTGGGCTTCCTTCTCAACCCTGTCTGCCGGCAGCTCAACTCGTTGCTGCTCTTCTTCTGCCGGTGCCTGTGCGTCCCCCGTTCTTGCAGCATCCCTGATGGCATTGGCTGCAGCTTCCCCAGCCGCAGCGGCAGCTCCCTTCAGTTTTTTCTTGTCCACATCAGCAGGTTGACCTAACCATTGATCAGCGCAGCCAGAAGACCTCTTGTGCGAACCCAAAGCAGCTGGAGTTGAGAAGTGCTTCTGATGGCAAACATCGCATTCAAATGGCACCTTGCAGGCTTTGAAGGATTAAACGGTTGCACTTGCTGTGGTCGCTGTGCAGTTGCTTTCAATCATCAGTGCAACAAATTGGAAAATCGAACAACCCTTGATGAAGACCGGAGAAGCTCAGACAGCTGCTGCATGAGGAGTCAAATCAATGGCAATGAGGGACCTGCTGAGGCCTGCTGCTGCTTCCTCAGGCTCTGTGGTCCACAGTGTGGAGGCTCTGGTCTCTCGTTCTTTCTTGGCTGTGACTTCGTGACTTTGACTCTCGAGTGTGATCGTTCACTTGTGTTCATGCTATTAGTTGCATGCAGGCGGCAAAATCAAATTTAAAAAAAAGAAATTCTAAAAAGCTGCCCCTGCTGCCAGTGCTGGCCTTGACATATGCCATTCAGTGTCAAGACCTACCGATCATGTAGACGATCATGCGATCTGGCACTGCTTCGGAACTGCACTCCATAGCTCGAACTCCTGAACGAGCCAATATGTCAAAGTTAAACACACCAGTGACAAGTTGAAGGAGGAGCTCTCCAGCTTTCCTCACTTTGAATCTTGATCATGGTGGTGAGCATGAATGCTGCCTGCAGGTTGCATTTACAGCGTAGTCACGACAAGATGAGGAGGGTTTCTTCTGCTTCCGCACGTCTGCTGCAAGCGAAATGACTCTGCAGCATTGCCATATTCATCTGCAGCATTGCTACATTCATCCTAGAAGCGGCGCTGAAAGAAAGCTTTCCCTCCATCGTTTGTGAAATGGCGACGCGCCGTGCCCTGCGGTCAAGCCAAGCTGCAAGTGCTGCAGTTGGTAGCAAGAATGGCCCTAAGAGCGGCGATGCAGGAGTTGGAAAGCTATTCAAGCTGGATTCTCAGAGGAGAGACAAGATAGAGCGGAACTTGGATTTCTTCAGGGCCAAGCCAGCCTCGAGTGGAAGCAAGGGGGCAAATTGGATTCCACCGAAACCCCCACTCTCAGGAAGCGAGACTCGTGATGAGGAGGTTGGCGCAGAGGGATCTGAGGCGCAGAGACCTGAAGCGTCTTTGGCAGCGTCCACTTCAAAAGGCAAAGGTCTAAAGAGAAAGCTTCCAGATGACTTTGATGCGCCTGTCAACAATCCGACAATCATCGACCAGATCCAATCAAAAGCTCCAAGCCCATTCCCAAAAGCCCCCCCAAACACTCCAGCAGGAAGTCCATTTTCGCCAAGGAGTCCGAATGCCAGGGGTCAGCCAGAGCCGCTTGCTAATGACCCTGGGAAGAACCTCCAGAATGCCAGCAGAGGTGAGCACATTAAGCTCAGAAATATTCTTACTTTCTGGCTAGTTTTCAGCTTCTTCTCATTTGTCTCAGGCTTTGAAGGGAATTGGTTGGATGAGTTGGTGACAGCAGTCTCCCGTAGAAATCCTCGCTGCCATCCAAAGATTGAAAGGTCACTTGATGCAGATGTAAAATGCACATAGATTGAAATTAGTAGGCTACAACCTATGACCGCCTGGTACGGCGGTTCAGTTTGCATTCTGTTTTCTGTTTTCTGAATGCTCCAATGAGTGGGTATGCCAAAAGGCAGCTTTTTGTGACCAGCCATCTTGTCACAGACCAGTTATGCAATGACCTACTCTACCTCCTTTTGAGATTGAACTTGCCATTGCCTGAAGTACCACTGAACATTTTCAATCTTTGCCATTGCCTTCAGGGAAGAGATAGTTGCGTTCAGGCAAAGACCTACCTCAGTGTGAAGATGCCCCAAGCACATTCTTATTAATAAAGGAGATCTGCTGCTTTTTAAGAAGTCAATGCTACTTGAAGTCAAATTCTTGCTGTGCGATATTCTGAAAGTCTTGTAGAAGACTTTGAGAGGCTTGTGAAGCAGAAGAAGCAGCAAAAGGTGTGCTTGAGCATTGGATCGCTCAAAAACTTGAGTGCTCGGTTAGGAATGATTGCAAACTCAATCGTTCATGTCATTTTCTGTCAGTGTTTTGGCAACAGAGTGAGTTGTATTATCACTCTGTTACCACTGTTCCCCAGCATGTCAGCATCTTGTAAAGACGTTGCTTTTGTGCAGTTTCAGGACAGTGTCTGCTCATGCTCATGCTCATCCCCAGCTGCAACAGCCTTGAAGAGAGTACGAGAAGCAGATTCTTGCTCTGGCTTTGGCTCTTAGGAGCTCACTCACAAGACCGATTGAAGTCATATGGAGTCAGTTTGCACTTACTGCTTGATCTTTGCTAAACTAAAGTCTCTCCTTTTCCTTTGGCGAAGGTGCGGAACATGTGCTCAACGCCAGCGAGAAGGTCCGTTATGAAAAAGCCAAGATCAAGATAAAGGAGCTCAAGGCGAAGAACCAAATCCTGGAACGGACTGTGAAAGAGCAAAGCCAGCACATCCTTTCCTTGGAAAGAAGCGTTGCAAGTGCGCGAGACAAGTTAGAGCTCCCTGACTTCCTTCAGCCGCAATTTCTAAAGGTGAGATTTGCTCTAACTTTGTAGTGACGATCAGTGACCAGAATCCGAGCATGCTTGTGACATTGCAGGGATATTGCTGATCCTGCCATTCCAAAGGTGCTTGATACTATCTTTGCGAAAGTTGTGCTCACAGGGTGAGGTTTAAATCTCTTGATTGAACGATGATCTATGCAGCGAAAGGAGCATAAGAAGTGTGGATTGACTACTTTTCTTTTGTTTGTTAGGCTCTCCTATCAATTGTGACCAGAACCTATTGCCTTGCAGAAAATCACAAGTAAGGTCATCACTGCTTTTGTGCGCGGCAGTCAATTTTGGAGCACCTTGTATCCAGAGATTGATACAGTGTTGAAGGTCTTTCTTGCGGAGCTCAACCTAGGACACCGCAGCGACGTGCGCCGGTTCACTGACCACTGGCACGGCGGGTTTGGTCAATCTGTGATGACAAAACTGGGAGACAGACGGTCCAAGCTTGGTGGCAGGTTCAGGCAAAGTTTGGGGGACACGACCGAAACCAGTGATTTAGCCGTTTTCCCTGCTTCATTGGAGTTGGCTGCTGAGCGCAAAGCCAGGATGCTCGCTTTTCAATCAGGTACAGCCGGAGCACTGAGCTCTCCTGACTCAAAAGAATCCCGAAAGGCTAGGTCGTTGTGATCAAGCGGGTCCAATCGTAGCAGAACCGTTCATATCGATTGTGTCCTTCATCTGGAGGTGAAATCGCCCTTCGTTTTCTTGAAACTTCGTCGCTTTCTAAACGCAGACATGTCGTGGGTTGGCGGACCCAACCGAGATGAAGACACGGGCGAGCTCGAATCCGGCGAGGATGACACGCAGGAAATGCTCAAGGGCAAGCACTATCGCATCGCCTTCAAGATGGCCATGGGAGGAGTCTACACGGAGACTATGCGCGCGCGCCAGGACGTGTTTGCGTATTTCCTCAGAGTGGTGAGTTTGGGCTCTTTCCGACCGAGGGCTGCGATGAAAGTTGGTTCTCTGAGTTACTTTAGTGCTGCTCTGAAATTGACGCACAGGAAAGTGGCAGACCGATTTCCGCTTGCCAGAGTGCACTGGGTGTCCAGATGCATGACGTCACACAATGCTATCAGATTTGTGGTACTTTGATCAGAATCAGGTCCGAGCTCGCAGATGAATTCGATTGTGACACGTGCATCCTAAAGCTTGATTTTGAGACTCGTTCTCCTCATGACATCTCGTTGTAAGGACCAAGCTGATAGTGGATCACATCAATCAACCGTCTGGTTGTGCATCTGTGCTGATGTAATCTGACCTGACCAACATTGGGGGCAATTCAGAGGGCGTCGGTCAGGTCCGCGACCTCGGAAAGCTTAAGTTTCGTGGCAGAGGCAAGTTGCTCTTTGTCCAGGCAATGCTTGAGGTGGTTTCGGGTGGCTCTTCTCATGTAGGGAAGAGTTGTGAGAGCTTTCTTGCGACCTTGCAAACGAAGGCAGCCAGCCGGATCTCCGCGTGGTTCAGCTGCTCGGTCTGGTCAACCAAAAGACCGTTGCTAAGCCCTTTCGCTCGTGCCTTCATGCAGGGAGAGCTGTATTGGCTGGGTCAGCAAATGAGCTCCACCAACGTGAACCGCGACCGTGAGGTGATCCGCGAGTACGAGCAAAGCATGATTGAGTACGAGAACAACTACGGCCTCAAGTACGCGCGGCTCATCAAGAAGCGCGCCCCGCCGGAGGACCTGAACACTGCACCGACCTCTGCTTGGCGGATTTTGAAGGCTGGGGAGTCGCTCGACCTCGCGGGCGAGTGCAGCGGCGGGGACCGGAGCGATGACGAGAGCGGCAGCGACACTGAATAGGTCATGAGATCATATGTAAGCAGTCGGACTTGATTTTGTGTCAAGACCAGAGATTTAGTGTCAAGGGTGTGCTTTTACTACTGGTATACTAATTTTGGGCTGCCCAGCAATCGATCGACAGGGCCTGCCACCGTGTTCACACCGAACAGGATCAGTCGTCGTCACTTGGACGGATCAGATGGGATGGCTTCTAGTCTCGTAAACCGTTCTTCGATTGAAGCCTAAACGGGCTCGACTCGGGCTTGAAACGGGCTTGAACGCGGTGCGGCGCCCGACATAACTGCTTTCAGAATGTTTCTGACTCGGTTGATCAAATCGGATTTTGCAGGCGTAACTACTGGTTGTTGTGGTGGGAACTCGTCTGTAGAGAGTGCTAAGTCGGATCTCTGTTCGGTTCCAAGTCTCTCCGTACACGGATTGAAACCTTGTCTAGTTGACAGAACCGGGTCCACATGTCCTTCTGTCGCACTCCTTTTTCAGTGGACAGCGACTCTTGAACGATGTGTTCAAGGATTCAGGTGTTCAATTATAAATTTCGGACTCCCTGACCAAGTTCGACTGACCTGCAGGATGAGGCGCATGTAAACTGCCGGCAACGTGAGTGACCGAAGAACCTTCACAAACAAGAGCTAGCTAGTCGACGGTCAAGCGTCAAGGTGGGTTCAGTTTGCAAGGGATAGCACGTTCTGGGACCAGATTTTCTCGTGACCCGCTCTGGGTAGCTTGAGACTGATTCGGCTCAAGCTTGTGTGGCTTCGAGTCGTCCCTTTGTCATTTGGTTTTAGAATCCGGGTACCAGGCCGTTGAGGAACATTTTGTGCGGATAGCACCCTGGCTTGGATAGGAGCCAACCACCAAACACTTTGACGGTCTCCTCTAGCCCGGTGGAGGCGGCCCTGTACGGCCGTTTCAACACTTGACATGGGAAGTACTATATGCTCAGGCCCACTACTTCGCTTTCAATGGTACTGACATCCTTACTGGCCCTTAGAGCCAAGAATAGAGTCGCAACTTTGAACCTTATCCATACGAGGTTGCTCAGGCATAATACGCCATAATGATGTATATATGCACCATATGAATTATGCATCCTTGGTTTGTGTTATGAATCCAACGGCATGGCCAATATGCCTATATAGTGGCCCGGCAAGCCAAAGAGTTCGCCGCAGCATGGATTCCGGACAGTTTCTGCATGGAGTCCACATGGTTTCTAGGCGCCTCGAATCTATATGAAGGCCGAATGGATTCCGAATGAACAGAAATCAAGCCGTTTCCGCATAGATTCTATCTTGATTTTCGGCATGGAATCGGTACAGAATCCAGACGCCCTGATTCCGGATGGAAGCTGTACGAGAGTTTAGCCGGATTCTAATTGCTTGATTTCCGTATGAACCGCGCATGGAACCCGGGGGGGGGCTGATTTGTGATGACGTCCCCATCTGGACCGTCGCTGTTTGCCAGAATGATAACCTCGGGCGATCAGCAAAGCCGCAAGTTTGAGCCGGCTAAGGGATAGACTCATTCGATTGGAGGCACGATGAGAAGAGAAAGGAGGAGAAGAAGCATGCCAGCAACGAGTCCTAGCTAGCTTTAGTGCGGCCATCGTTCCCTTTTCGAAAGGAGGAGGAAGAGGCTTGCCGCTATTGATGCAAGCCCAATGAGCGGGACGATTGGGATTGTGCGGGTATCGGTCGAAAATTGATTTGCCGAAGATTGCACAATGCATGACAATGATCGACATTGGGGGCTGCATGGCTCGATTTTATTGTCGTAGTCACCAACGTCCGACTTGGGTCAACTCAAGGCTAGCGGCTCGAACTCCATCGGCGCTGATCTGATCACGCAGGCACATGCCTGAGGGGGAATGGTATCAGAACACTTTTCCAAAGCGTGCAACGCTGGACTCAATGAGCCCCTCGTGGGAGGCGTCAAACTCGAGCAGGCGGACTCCCCCTGGAGCGCTTTCGTCCAGCACAGTGTGCGCCTGCAGACACGGCGGCCGGGAAAATGAGCAGGCAAGTATCAGGCAGAAGAACCAAAATCCTTTTTCCTGCGACTAAGCATACGGGGAACATGCCAGGGAGGCGTGAGTTTGCTTCCTTCGCCGTTTCTTTCAGTACGAGGACGTCTGCTTTTGTCGTGAGCTGTACGAAACACGTACCTCATTGCAGGGAGTTCTAGAAAAATATGAGTGCAGATTCATTGGTCTAAAAAAGTCCCCTGAGCTACAACGGACCGCGACTGTAGAATTTCAGAAAGGCAAACGCTAACTTCGGAATCGCAACCAGCAACTTGACACTCGACGCATCAAAGCAGAGAAAGGACGGCCGCCAGCTGGCACTCTGCAGTGTCAGAGCCCCGAAGCAGGGGAACGTTACCTGGCAGAAGACGGGGCGCGGCTTCTTCTGCTCCATGACCACTCGGCGCAGCTGCAGAAAGTCGGGAGAGACTGTAGTAAGGTCGGCGTAGAGCGCCCCGCCACGGCCGATGTCAGCGGTGGCCTTGAACACCTGCAGCTGCCGCAGGAACGCGCCCACCGCGGGGACGCCCACCGATGCGATTTTGGCGCGGTTCAGAACGACCACCGCGTCGTTGTCGCCCACCCACTTGACCTGCACGGGGGCAGGCACATGATTCGGAGCAAGGCCGGAGCAGGTGAAATTAGACCGACTGTGTACCCGCCGCTTTCGAGTGGCCTTTGGCAGAGATGAGCCATCTGGCGATAGCTGGGTTAGCAAGGGAACAACGGACAACTACGAGCATCATAGCAAGAAGCCATTGCGAAAAGGAAAATAGGTGTATTGACTCTGGTCTGCATCTGCTGATTCATTTCGAACTTGCGTCTCATCCTTCTTGAGGCAACAAGAGCTTTTGCATTGCTTTTCTAGGGCCACGTGTCGCCGCAACTCGTGCTGCTCCCCGGTGCGTACCTGCACGAAGGGGTCCCCCGGCGAGGTGTCCCGCTGCGTGGCCCGCAGGAAAACGTTCAGAATGGCAAACCGCGCCTGCATGTGCGCCTGCCGCCACGCGCGCGTCTCGGGGGTGTACATCTCGAGCGCGAGCAGGCCCCCGCGCGCCATGAGCAGCCAGTTGACGTACATCACATCGCCCGCCTCCTGCCCCTCGTGCCCGAAAATGGACAACACCTGCGAGGGAACAGGGGGCAGTGCGGCTTTAGAGTGCTGACGGCTTGCGGAAATAGAGCACATGCGTAAAGCTCTTCCTGTGGTGCAGCCAGGCGGAGGCACGTTGATCGTTGGCAAGCGCGACGAAAGGGTTGACGAGGTTGTGCGGCAGATTACTATATCGACGCAGGCAAGGTCCACGAGAGCGGATGCAGCGAGTTACAGAGAATCATGCAAAGAAGCTGGGCCCGGAGGTTCGATAAGTGGCGGAGGGCAGAGATCCTCGGCTTGCTTCCCCAGAACGGACTCTCAGCCGACGTCTCGACGTACATTCAACCCTCGCCCCGGTTGCGGTTTATGGCTCTTCTGGCAGCGGTACGACTTGCAAAACTCTTCCGCCCCAGACCCATGATGCCCTGCACCGCGCTGACCTGCTCGTTCGCCGCGAGGAAGATGCCGACGCACTCGGCGCGGCACTCCTCGTAGCTGCTGCTGATGGCGCCGAACACGCTGTCCCAGCTCTGGCCCGCCTCGTACCAGCTGGCCACGGGGGCGCCCGTCTCCGGGTTTGCCAGGCTGCCGTGCGGAAAGTCGAAGACGCCGTCACTGCCCCGGTGGAACAGCTTGCCCGACCCGTGCCCCAGCAACTCGTGGCAGCCCACCTGTACCTGCGGGCCGGGGCAGGGCGGAACGGAACGAGTGGGTGGGGAGGGACACAGAACGGCAATGAAAGGCAATGAAAAGCGAGGGGCGGGGCAAGGGGCTGTTTCGCAGGATTAGAAATTAGGCTCCATCGTCTAACGCCTATACCAACGCCTGGCGGATAATATGAAAGTGAACTGCCTTGCCGGTGCGACTTGCGCTACGATTTTTCGAAGCAAGTAATCCACTCCTGAAAGTCGTCTCCTTGAAGTCCCATAGACGACAATATCCAGCAACGGCCGCGGGCTCACCTCGAAGGCCTTTCCCTTGAACTCCTTCCACAGCTGCTGGTCGGCGTCTTGTAGAAACGGGACGCGGTCGTCGCTGTCCTTGGCGGCCAGCACGTTGCCCAGCGACACATTCTTGAAGCCGTCGTGCTGCCGCAGGTCGTCGTAGTTGGGGATGTTGATGCCCGCGGGGATGCCGCCGTTGGCGAACGCCACAACCTGTGCGCAGCCCACGAAAGGGAATGAAATAGGCGCAGGAACTCGATTTGAGAGACGAGGTGAGCATTCTGGCGAGCGAAAAGCGCCGGGCCCGAGCAGAAAGGTCGCAATTCATGAGAGGGGCAAGAAACGGACGGTTGGCAGGGGTCATGCCGTCGTGTGAAAATTGAGATGAGGACTTCAGCACGGCAGGATATTCAAATGGAAAACAAGCAGTCAACTTGATTACTCATGCATCTCTGCCAGGTCAAGCCACGACTGCGCCGTGCAATCTACTCTTCTCTATCGCAACGCGGCAGGATATGCCCACCTCGAGGGAGGTGAAGTCTGGCTTGCGGAAGGCGTCCTTCTCGAACTCGCGCGGCCAGGGCAGCGTGGGCAGCAGCGCAGGCGCGGCCGCGACGAGCGCGCCGAACTTGGCGCTCTGTTCCTTGTTGACCACCGCCACGAAACCCTCGAACTCGGCACAGGACCCAACCGGATCGCGATAGTTCTCAATGAACCTGCACCGCAAAGGCAAATCACACTCTGGGAACGACGATCGAAGTCCTTTTCTCATCCTGTTGGTGAGAAGACGGCTGGACGGAACTTGTCTCAGTATTCTCATAATTTGAGGCACTCGACGCCATCCTAGCAGAGAAAGAACAAAAACAAGCGCACAAAGTGCAGGAAGCAGATTAAGAGTAGCTTCTTCCTCTCAGGTGCCTTTGAAGCAAGACCACGGCCGTTTGAGACTGGACACATTTCACAGCGAAGTCAAATAAGAAAGCTCCACGCGGCCCAACAACACAGCTAAAATTTCTCCACGAATAATCAAGCACTGCCAGTGGCTTCCGGGCATTCTTTGATGCAGGCTGGGGCAATCGAGCGCAGAACTGAGGAATACTGGGACAAACCGGGCGGGCGGCTCACCCGATGTTGGTCTCCACAACGGGCCCCTGGTCCTTGATCCAGCAGCGCTGCGAGTCCTTGTGGGCGCCGATGTCGCCCGTCTCAAAGTGCCGGATGTACCTGCGAGGTGGGCGAAGGTATCAGAAGATACACGGCATCAACAGATGGGCTGGCACGATCCTCAAGCATGACCACACGTAAATGTGAGCAAGGACGGGGGCTGATATTGGGAACTTTTGTGTGCCAGCCAGAGTCGCAGAGCCTGCTCCTTAGCCCGGACACCCTCCGATGCAGGTGTAGGCGGACGCGTCCGGAGTGACGTCAAAGGCGACAAAGGGCCGATCGTAGAAGCAATCTGGTCAGCAAAATTGACATAGCGCATGACCACGTGATACTGTCTTGTGACCGAAAACCAGGCTTCACCAGTCTATTGTCGCTGCGTTTTTCTCATATTGCCACGAACCCCTCCTTCGTCCTGAACGGAACTCCTCTGATACCGTCTAAATTTTAGCGACGTCTCAGCCTTTCCGGCGCAGAAAGGTATCACAAAGCCTCGACTCAGGGCAACAACCTGCCTAATGCGAACGGCGCATAGAGACGGCGCCATGTTGCCTCACTCGTGGAGCATCTGCTTTTGGTTGTCGTTGGCAGCGTGCGGCAAGGCCTGCTTCAGGGCGTCCACCAGCACGCGCAGCTCCTCACAGTGGTCGCCGTATACCACGTGCACCACACCGCCGCCCTGCACGGAACCATGCAGGACCTGTTAACAACTTCTGCGCTCTCGCCTGAACGGGGCATTACGCGTGCCCAAAGGCTTCAGGATGTCGAGGATCAAGGGAAGCGATACGGGGTTGCGGGGTACTCGTACATTTGCGACAAAGAGACGATAGCACCTCCAATCCCGCTATATTTCTCAATGCCGTGTGTTCTCCAGTTCGAGCTCCTCATTTGAGTCACGTTTGCTTACAAAAATCTCCTCTTTTTGTCCTGATAGAATGTAGCTTGGCGTATTTCCTTTTTCACAGTAGTGAAACGAAAGTTGGAGCAGTGTGCAGCCGGGGTCCTGCCCGGCACGCGGCGCATACCTGTAGGGAATGCGACTCGACGGGCCGGGTGTGCGCCGAGGCGATGCGCAGGTCGTACTCGGGGAGCGCGCCTGCGGGCGTGTCGCGGCGGAAGATGCGCGTGTTCCACGCCTCAATTCCCGCCTGGGACATCCAACCCTGCCAACAACGACGATACGCTAGGAATGAACCGCAAGCTTCCAGGTGAAAGCCAATTTCGACGACGACGGAAAGTGAAGTTCATCTCACTTTACCGACAATGGATGGTCCCGTGCCTTGGACTTGCCAGTGACGCATCTTCACAGTCGATGTATGTAACAATGTAACCTGGTGCGAAGGAGCTCGTTTTGGTCGGGATCAGGGCCTCGTGGTTCGAAGGGGGCGTTCTTGCGATAATTGCTTCGTCATTGAGCTAAACAGTGTCCCAACATTGGGAGGGCCGATTCGCCAAGGAACCCAGGCTAGCTACAATAGTTGTGCCTCTTCAGATAGTAGGTCGCAACTCCCCATGACAAGGATCAAGAGCAGCTTGTCAAAATAGCCTTTTCTTGTCTAACTCCACTTCTTCCCTTTTCAGCCTTCACTGACTCTAGGGCTTTGCCCCCCACTCGTAGACCTGACCAATTCAATTTAAAAAGGCAGACTGCATAGAACCTCAGCAACGTGGCCTTTGCGACCCTCTCCCTTTAAGGTTTCGGCGCGGTCAGCAGTCAAGGGCGCCGGCCCTCACCTGCACGGCGTCGATCTCCGCCTTTTGGATGCCCGGCGAGTAGTAGCAGCTGATGCCATCGGGAGCCAGGCCCAGCGCACGCTCGCCTGCACGAAAATTCGAAAACAATATTCTCACAGGCGCGGGGACGATGCAAAGTAATTGCGTCGCCCACCAACGGAAATAGAGGACGAGCAAAGAGGACGAGCAACAGGTGCAGACCTGGTAGCGGGGCAGGGTGTGCGGCGGTCGACTTTGCTTGCCAACCCGCTGAGGCAACGTGTTCTTACCTGGTTCCAACGAGTAGGCCTTGGCGCCGTACTGGGACCAAAGTTGTTGCAGATGCTCCCGATCAGAATCCTGCCAACATAACGAATAACAAACACTGAAACTTTTTCTAGCGCTCACATGAAGTTGCAAATCGAGGCGGCTCTCCCATGCTTAGAGGGCAGTGTAAAGCTGGCAGCGAGGATGCGCACAAAGAAAAGCATGAAAACCGAATCCTCAAAATCATATCGTGGCTGCACATAGCAGGACGAATGCGTTTTCGACAACCAGCATCCATTTGGAATCCAGCCGGCAGCCCCCCTTCCGGCATACCTGCAGCGCGGCCTGTGCCAGGATGCGCTCCAGCTGTGCGCTGGGCAAGCCCGGGATGATCTTGCTGTCGCCAAAGCTGAGGTAGTTGCCTACACAACGAACACACAAATCAGCCACAGAGCAACGAGGCTCCCACAGAAGATACAAATGTCGATCTTATGTCGATCTTAATCCCAGCGTTGGCCAATGTCCCTCAAGTTTCTCCAGATTGTCTTGACCAGCTAGGTACACAGGGGCACTTTTGGAAACGTGTAAGGGTAAAAACCGGAGGGAACAAAGTCGTGTTAGCATACACCCCTGAGTGGCGACTATGGACTGCTGTGGACTGCACGAAGCCCCCCTGAAGCGGAAGAGGAGAACAATCAGATACTTGAATGAAACAAGGTCGTCACTTGAGCTGTTAGCTGGCCAGATCCATAGCCCCACATCTCACCCAGATTTGCAAAGACGGCTGCTGCGTATGCGACAAACGCCTTCCACTCTTCCTCGCTGACCCCAGCACCCATGCTCCTTGCCTTGAGCTCTGCCACGGACTGCCCCGAGAACAGCAGCAGCAGCAGCTGCCCCAGCGGAGCGCTCTCCTGCACGAGGAGCCAACCGTGAGAAGCACACAAATCCGTGATGGGGGTGGGGGTGTGCCCACTAGGGCGCTCCGTGAAGGAGGGTCAGGGAGGCGCTTCAGGAAAGGGCAATCATGGAGAAAAGGCGACTTGATATTGCACATGCCTGGACAGCAGAAGACCCTGTAAACTTTGCTAGCTGAGACGTTCAGATTCAGGACCCCGCTGTTCCACCGTTTGATCAGAAAAAAGAGGCTTACAACATGCCGAGAGCTTGGCAAGGCTAGTGATTTCATATGATTTACAAAAGTGGTGGTTCTTTGCGGCAGTACCTGTGAGAGCTGCACTGCACAGATCTTGGCCCCCGCCCATGCTGCAGTGGCAAAGAAGTGGGCGTACTGCTTCTCCTGCTCCGTCAAGCCATCCCACGCAGTCCTGAAAGCCCAATTAGAATGTTGCGCTCATGAATAGCTGACCTCCGTTGTGTTTGAAGCGGATGTTATAGCTCTTTCAAAGCGATTGCCCCACAGATTGTGCACGTAGAGACTGAAGACAAGCTGTGTCAGCAACCTGCGCGACCTCAAATGCCTGAGGTGAGATCTCAATCTGTTTCTTGGGAGTAGCCAATAATATTTGAGCAGAACAAAATCAGCCAAACATAAGGAGCAAAACAAAACCACCATAGTGACACCAAAATCCAATGGCACCTGCTCTCATATTGTCTGAAGCGCTTGGCATTGAACCCCTTAAGGCATTGATATTTCCCAAAGCATCACAGTGGCATTATGTGCGCTTGCAGCACACAGCCCCCACTTCGTCAAGCAAGGTTCTAGCCAATTGACTCTTGAAAACCTTTCCCACAGACACAGAGGAGGACGAGCAATGCAAAAATCTCGGTTCTTCGTCGCAAGCTCAGCAATAACCGGCCGATCAACGCAGTTGAGCTCTGACCTCTCCGTCCTGGTGAACTCCTCAAACAGCTGGATGAATCTAGAAGCTCTCAATGTGTTGTGACAAGCATGAGCGAGGGTATAGCTGCCCTCACCTGCACTCGAGCTTCGACACCGGGAGGTCCACCGAGGCAACGTGCAGCTTGCGCAGAGCATCGTCAAGATCAGCTGGAGAAGAGGGCGCCAGCGCTCCTTCACGAGGAGGAGCCATGCTCGTAGCTCCCGAGGGCAGGGCTAATTAGCGGCTCACCCTTGGATGGGCTGTTGCTGCAAACCTGGAGTTGCCACTTGGCGTTCCAACCACTGAACCAGGCAACTCTCTTCTCGAGCGAAGGCTCAGCTTGCTAGCGCTGCCCGATAAAGCCGGCATTGGCAGGATGTACCGACCAGGAATCGGAGGTTGGGGGGAGACAGCGAGAAAACGCATTTAACTACCGATCTCGATAGAAAAGACGGCACGTATAGGCCCGTGATCGCTGAGACCCGTCACCAATTCGCCGTGGCTTCAGCGACGGCGTTTAGAACGGCGGCCGAGAGACACAAGAGCTCAAGCTCGGGTTCGCTGGGCCCCCCTGATTCGGTTGCCCAGAGCAATTGCGCCACGTTTGGCTGGTGCTGCACAAGAAAATGTTTTGCCAAGCAGAGAAGGTGGGGCAGTGATCCACCAACGTTTTCAAATCCTGCCGCCAACATTGTTTGACCACGTATACACCCTCACAGCAGGAGCGCTTGTGTAGAACTTGTCTAGCTTGCCTTGGTGGATCCTGCCATCTTGTCTTTCTTACCATCGGGGTAGCGGTCGAAGTTGCCAAGGTAAGCTGCCAAGTCCAAGCGTGAGGCTGCAGCCACATTGGAGCTGCCCTTGAAGTCAGCGCTGAAACAGAGGACGGCAGTGCGTGGAGTCAGCGTGTGCAGGTGGGTATGCTGACGGGGTCTGACTGCTGCAAGCCAAGTGGTTGATGGAGGCTCATAGAAGGAGACAGCTGAGTTCGTGAGCCTGTTCCAACATTGGTCCTGCCATACCACCACTGTCAGGGTGTTTTGAAGGGGAGCTGGCTTTTTGTATCTACTACTGAGTTCAGAAGGACATATTCTCTCCCCGCTGTGAACTTTGGTGACCAGACAACCCCCAAGTGTGTGGCATCATGTCATTGACATCAGCCTAGACTCAAAAGAAACCGCTTGCAGCTCTAAAGACTTGGTGATTTTGGAGAATTTGTCAGGTCAAGAACGTTCAAAGCAACATGGTTGGTCCTGTAAGTTCTACGTGAAACTTATCAAGTAGTTAGGCAGACACTAGATCTTCCTGGGATTCCTGCATGCATGAGGGCTCATAGCCGTTGCTTCCGTCACACTCTAGCCTCGAACTTTCATCAGAGACTTGAAAGCGCTGGAAGGACTGGGATCATGAGTCCTTTGTGTCTTTTTGAAGATCTGACACTCCCTTCATCAAGTCAGGCACGATGTGTCACCTTAGAGAAGCGTATGAGAGGAGAATGGAACAGGTGATTCTTTTCTCCAAAGTATTCACACCCTCTTGAAGACCCCAGTTCTTAAGCCCCTTCACATTTTAAGATATCAATATCAAGCTCTGCTCCTTTCAAGTGCGTACATCCATATCCATATTCATATCCATAACCTGGTATGCCAAGGGTCGTGGCCTCCATCATGGTGGATTCCCCCACCAAGGACCCCCAAAACAGGGCTCAGGATGCTGTGGATCGGTCCCCTGCCATTTCTTCTGTTTCCTTGACCTTTTTTTCTGGGGTTTGTCTGCTTAGGCAAGTTGCACCTCCACACCAAACATTTCAACAGATCAGGCTTAGGAAACGGCACGCTTAGAAACGGCACGCCTTTCAGCCCTTGCTCAGGGTCTGCGCCCTACCTTCTTTTCATCATCATTTCAACAAGATTGTTGACACTTTGTCTGGCTTGTCGCTGATGCAGGGATGGGGGCCTCCCCCTACCTGGCCCTGGTGGCCCTCCTCTTCCTTGCATCAACGATGCCCGCTAGCGCCCAGTCCGTTCTGCAGTACCACAACAGCGGGACGCGCAGCGGCCTGTATGTGGACCCCCTATTCAACGCCAGCAGTGCACCCACGCTGGTGCTGGACCCCACGTTCAACGTGACCATCCCCGGCCCAGTGTATGCGCAGACGCTGTACCTGGCCAACAGCAGCCTGGCCGGCAGGGACGTCATCTTTGTGGCCACTGAGCAGAACCAGGTATGCTGTTGGGCCACACGGAGCGACTCCCCTTGACGTTCCTAGGGCTCTTTGGGTATGTACGCACTTGGTCGCTGCGGGGTTGGGGGGGGGGGGCAGTGTTTTCGCAGCATACAGGAACCTGCTTCAGGGGACGAAGTCGTTAACTGAGAGGGCCCTGCCTTGATACAATATGACTCAGGTGACAGATTGTCTGACATAGAGAACAGCCTCTGTGTTTAACCACTTCTTCTCCTATCTCACTCCAGCTCTTCAGGACTGCCCAGCTTGCGATTCCTGATTGTGCCCTTCCTTGTCAGGTCCTGGCAGTTGATGCTCGCTCGGGGGTCACTCTGTGGAACCGCACGCTGGCCCCCCCGGTGAACGGCAACATCCTGCTGTGTGGCAACATCAACCCGTCCGGCATTACGGGGACGCCTGTCATTGACACGCAGTACGGCATCATCTCGTTTGTAACTCTCACCAGTGCCAATGGCACCCTGGACGGCGTGCGCTCCCTGGCGTGGGCGCTCTCCGTGCTAAACGGGGCCGTCATGCCAGGCTGGCCCATCGACATCCAAGCAGCGCTCACCGCGCAGGTCAGGCACCACGTTGGGCGGAAGACACGAAGCTGCCTGTCATCATATGATACTTTGGCAAACCCATGAAGGCTTCAGCCGAAGGCCATGATTCTTCTATAATTGACAATCCGAAGAACCCCGCAAACTGTTTCATAAGCTGTTAAAATATCTGTTGCATGCCACACCCCTCCTCCTCAGGCGCAAAAATCCCTGTAGCTTTTCTCCAGAGACCAGCTGAGCTCGTTCTGAACTGCCCCAATTCTTTTCCTGCGCAGAATTACACCTTCATCTCCTCCAACCAGCAGCAGCGCGGCGCCCTGACGCTGCTCAACGGGACCGTTTACATTCCGTATGGTGGTCTCGCCGGGGACTGTGCCGAGTACTACGGCGTGGTGGTGGGCATCCCGCTGCGCACGCCCAGCGCGGTCCAGGCCTACGTCTCCAACGGCTACAAGGGTGGCTTGTGGGCGACCCCGGGCGTGTCCACCGACGGGGTCAACATTTTCGGAGCTGCCGGTAAGCCAGCCGTGCTGAGGACCGCGCTTGTTGTTCTAGAGAGCGATTCTCTTGAGGAGAATGGCTCGGGAGGGCCTTGCAATCTTGGCGTTGTGGTTCCTCATTAGTTCTGCTCTTTGCTGCAAGGACCTGCTCGGATGACTTCAAAAGTTCCTCAATCACTTCGTTCGGGTCTCACGACACGGTTTTCTATTTCGCAGGCAACACGGGCAGCCTTACCGGTTTTGCTGCCCCAGAAGTGTGGAGCGGCGGCGAGGCATTGCTCCGGTTACAGCCGGGCCCTGTGTTCACCAACTCCACCCGCGACTTTTTTGCACCCGCCGATTGGCGCGCGCTGGACGATGCGGACACGGACATCGGCAGCAGTGCCGCGCTCCTGGTGGACCTGCCCGGGGCAGTCCCGTCCGCGCTGGCGGTGGCCATGGGCAAGAACGGAGTGGTGTACTTGACAGACAGGAACAACCTGGGGGGAGTTGGCGGGGAGCTCTTCCAGGCCAAGGTCAGTGACCAGCCGCAACGAAGATTTTGAAAGAATATTTTTGCCACTAGCGTTTGTGCTTGAAGTGGGCTGTCTCCAGCGATTCGACACAAAGGGCACTTGGGAGAAACCGAGGAACAAAGGCGCAATGGAGAGACCTTGGAGTATATCATAACCCGCTGCGTGGTTGTGCGGATTGCACTTAGTCTGCGTTCTGCAAGGCAGCCCTTTTCTCTGAGAGGTTGCCAAAGGTAATGATAAGTGGATGACAGTCGTCCCGTCGCCTGTCCGCCCAGGTGATGGCCAGCGTGATCATCAGCACCCCAGTGGCGTACAACACGTCCAACGGCACCTTCCTGGCCCTCGCCAGTACTCCGGGCGTGGGCTGCCCCCCCGGCCAGGCCGGGGACATCGTCGGGCTGCAGCTGCGCGCGGGTGCGCCGCCCAACTTCACGGTCGCCTGGTGCGCCGCGTCGCGCTCCACCAGCAGGACGGCTCTCGTCGTCACCAGCCCAGGCGGCAACGGGACCGCCATTGTGTGGGTGCTTGGTGAGCCATCGCGACCAGCCGACCCAGCAAAAGGGGTCAGCAAGTTTACAGCTCAGCCATATATCCGACACTTGGAATTTTTGTAGCTGATGTGGTGAACTTATCTTGTACTGGCGTGCAGTTTCCAGGCGAAAAGTAGGAGCCTTGGTTAAGATTCGGCCGCTGTCGCCGAGATGCTCAACATCTCTTTCCGGGACTTTTGACTCGTCTCCCTGGAGTGCGAACTCGACCGTTGAGTCGCTGCGCCACGCCTGCAGGCACTGGGGGACTGCGTGGCTTCGATGGTGTGACGGGGCAGTTGGTGTACAACGGGACGGCGACCTTCCCGCTGCTGCGGTCGTGGCAGACGCCGATTGTGGCCAAGGGCCGGCTCTATTTCGCAGACGATACCCGACTGTATGCGTTCAAGCTGGCGGGGGCCCCGGACCTACCCGTCGCCAACAACAACACCATACAGTCCCTGCTGAACGCAACGCTGACCCGGGGCCCTGTTGTTCTTCCAAATGGGACCTTAGGAAACTTAAGCGGAACATTGGGTTGATCTGAAAGTGAGGTTTGGTATATCTCCGAGGGTTGTCATTGATTAGAAAAGTCGTTTATCAGAAATGAGCTCTTTTGCCATAGACGCTAATTGCTGCGATCAAGTGGGTGATTGAAGCGCAAGAACCAATTCATCCCCAGCCTATATAATTTGTGAGCGTAATTAGTCAGCTTGATTATGAATTGTTGCGCTCTCATTGAAACTTGCTTATAATTCGATCTGCAAAAACTTCGGCTGCCTTCGTACAATAGTAGGTGAGCTCGCATTTGTAACCAGTTATTTTCAACCAGTCGAATGAGAACTTAACTTAAATCCGTAGGTAGCGTTAAACTGTTTCTTCAGAGTTTTGAGAGCCACAGGAGTCTTAAACTATAAATGCTGATTTGTTAATAAGCTTCTTCTAGGCTTGTTTCCAATCAAGGCGCATGCAAAACTTCTGGGGCCGTTATCGATTGGATTCAGCAGCAAGTATGGTTGCTAATGTGAGTCCCCTCTTTCGCTCAAACTGTACCGCGGGACGTACTGAAGCATGCAGCATGGTCCGACCGTCATTTCCTTAACGTGAACTGTAGAGTTTCTCGAGAAAATTGAGCCGGCTCATGCAGGCGGTGTTGTACTACTGAGAGCGGCCGACGTATACCGTACTGATGCAACAAATGTTGGTAATTCATATATCAATCAAAATGTTCGGTGCACATTCTCTTGAATTTAAAATTCCGTAGTTACAGCTAATCACATGTGAGCCGACTCGCGAGCCATACTCGGCACTCTCATCCGGCACACATATACGCCATCATTGCGCGCACAGAATCATTCATGACTATAAGTCACCGTCAGCTTGAGTACTATATAGAATGATCGCGACGTCAGGCTCATGCATGAACGTTCGCGGTCTATAGCGCGCCTGTGCATCAGTGCCTAACGCGTAGAGCTACAATTGAATAGGCCGCAGCTTACGGCAATGATGACCAAAATATGTTCCGCGAGCGCGCAGGTATACTATAACCGCAGCGGGCGGCAATTGGCGGCCCATAAGAGTTTACGAATTAAGCAATGGCTTAATTATATATTCGTAACCAAGCCACGGCGGCATGCTCATACGCAACAAAGAAATTTCTGAATGCTGCGCATGTGCATGGTGGCTTGGCCTTACATATATAAGCCATGTTGCAATTCGTATTGCATGCCAGTGCGTGGGATATGCCATTGATATCATATCCATCCGCTGGCGCGCCGCATGCCACGCCCCAAGCACTATGTGGTAACCGTTGATTTACGACCTGCCACCCCAACTAACTCACCCGTCTCAGGCCATGATGCACCATCACGTCCGACCAACCGACAATTATTGATCCTCCGTTACTTGTACATGATTCAATAAGGTCGTGCTCTGGTGAGAACTATGCTCTTGTTGAAGACTGCTCAAAGCTTCTCTCAGCCCCTCACTAGTTCGTGCCAATTGACTCTGCAACTCGCAAAGGTGATCAACCTGTTTCTGCAGACTTTCCAATCGTAAGCGTGCTTCATGAAGACACTCCTCTTCTGAGCTTGGGGAATTGCCAACATCTACAGAAGGGTTTTGCAAGTCGAATTCAGAACTATCTTCAAAGTACATGGTGCATCTACCGTTAACATTGCCTTTGCAACAACAACCAGAGTCGTTAGAAAAAGCCCCAGAAACTGTTGTTCGGGACTCCCCTCCTGCATCCAAGCTCAGGGGTAAGTGAAAGGGACAAGCTTTTCCATCGCTTGGCGGTTTCAATCGCTCGATACCGCTCGCTTCCAGGAGCTCTATAGCTTGCCCATCTGCATTCAGTCTGTTCAGGACCGTTGACTTGTGCGAGTTGGCTTCTTCAGCAACGTCCCTGCATGAACATCAGGAAGATCCAAGCTGAATCCAACCATCTTCCCGGTCTCCTGCAAGTTATGAATGATCATACGCTTCTTGAGCTTGATACAGCGGAGGGCGAGTCCTGTTGGTTGAGCGGTGGAGCGGTCGACCGTTCGAGGTGACATCACCTTGTCGTTGCCAATATACAAGAGCTTAATTTTGCATCCTTCTTGTCAACATCATGGTCGTGCTTTTTGGTGCATAAGCAGGAAAGGATCACAACATGGCCTTGCATATGGCACTTTCGTGTCCCCAGCTCACGAGCTTGATGTACCCAGACATTCCACAGATGTGAACCTGGTTTGGGGAAAACACAACACATGGGCACACCAGCTTTCTAGAATTTAATCATGCCACTCAAGTCAAGGGAGGTACTGACCCAAACGATGAGTCTACATATGTAGGCACCAACTTTTAGTGTCTACCAAAATCAATTGCAATTGGGCCTTCAAGCGGAAGAGATAAGGGATAACCCACCTCAAATGTTGCAACAAACTTGCTTTCTGTTCTTGAAGCTCTTGCAACCTGTCGCTCATAGCACTTGACCCCTTTTCAACCTGCTCTGATACATGTCCTTGAGGACATTTGCCATGCAGATCTGTATGTAAGAGGAAGACTGTGTAAGTGATTCAGCACCCAGCAACTGAGCTGCATCATGGATTTCGTTGCGACCCTGCAAGTGGACGGTGCACAGCATTCTCTGTGCTTGCTCATTTTGATCTCGTGTGTCAGTGAGCTGCAACATCACCACCATAACGTCCGCGGGATCAGGGTTAAAATGACTCGAGAGCTATCAAAACAGGGAGCTTCCTGGTCCATGACCTGTGTGCCTAGTTCGCCAGCGTACTTGATAGTATTTCAGCAGAAGTTTGAACCGGTCAGTTTGAAGAGACTTGTAGAATGTCTCACAGTCCCAGAACTTTTCATCAATGTATCTTCAGAGTCAAAACGTTGCCAGTAGTTCAAATGTCGCTCGGCACCTTCCGTACGTTTCATTGCTGTTAAAAGAGGGCTTACCCGAAAGAACAGTGTCGAGAACTGTTTCAAGTTCTGGTCTCTGTCGAAGCACGAGCTGTCGAACAATCTCAGCAGCTGCATCGAAAGGAGTTTCTGCATGGAACTGTGGTGTCATTAGTGGAGTGTAAGAGACGTAGATATTGACCCAGATTGGCGGAAGGACTTGAGGGAATCGTTCTCAGCAGGATAAAGATTTGCATAAAGATCTGCGTAGGCAAGCAGGCAAGGCAAACTTTCTAGTGTCAATAGGCGCACCTTGCGTCCAGCTGCTCTTCAACTCAGAAGAGCTCCAGATGCTCCCCCATGGCGAGCTTCCAGCTCCCGGAAATTGAAGCAGAGCCTCATCGAGCTTTTCATCGTTGGCTTCGATCTCTCCCATTTTCAGGCCCTACCAAGCTCCACTTTGGGATAAAAGCGATTCCGCCAACCAGAGGCTTCGCTACCCACCTTCTACAAATACAAAGCTGATCCTAGGCTGCAATTTTGGCATGGACGACAGAATACCCATGATACACCAAATCATACATCTCTACCTGGCAGCTGGCAGCTGGCACGCAGGCCTGGCCGCCATTTTCACTTTGCAGACAATTAGTAGCAACAGGTACTCTGATCACTGTACGGTACAATGTACATTGGTAGTACGACCTTTGTAGGCTGTAGCACCAGAACCAGGAGCAAACCCTAAAATCTTGTACTCGCTCTGCCGTGCGCCACTTTTAAAAGCTTTCGCCGTCGAACACACCTCTCTAAAATCTAATCTGTTCAAAGAGCTCAAAGCTTCGACGCCGGTCGACCGTACTCTAACTTCAAGGGTGCCGAAGCGGCGGAGAACTGCTCCGACAACACAGCCATCTTCCTCTTTCGCCCGATCTCCTGGCAAGCAGCAGGCCTAAGGTAAGCGACAGGCGCCCCCCTGGTCATACGCGGGCGTATGGACTGCGTCCGCCCATGTTCATGGTCCAGGTGTATTGTGCTAGTACCCTGCTTCATACCTTTGAGTCATCGTGCTGCGTCTGATCCGTGGATGGGACATTTTGGAAGGATCATGAACGATGGCCTCCAGCGCCTGGCAGGTTCCTGCTTCTCCTCCACCGTTACCGCTGCTGTCAGGACAAGCAGACGGGGCGGCAAAACCCTTGAATTGTTTCAACTCAAGCGGTAATGGTTTCTGAACGCGCATGTCCCCCGCATGGTTTCACCTGAGTGTTAAATCGTTTGGGTTCGTCGGTTTGCAGGCGCTCACCAGCTACTGCAGCAGGTTCAGGCAGCATGGGGCACTCAGCAGTGTGGAACTCTCACCCCAAGCAGTATGGTGCGGGAGGGCGCCTGTGGTAAGCCACAACTTCTAGCGACCTACTCAGTCAATACTTGTGGGCACAACCTCGCGATCCCCATTGTGAGATTGCCGGTGTAAAATAAGCAGGGGAGTAGCGGGGTTGATGTTCCTTAGCCAAGGGCGGCAACTTTGGCAAGAGTATGCCTCCTGTGAATGATGGGCAGATTTTGGAAAGTCCATATGGCCTTGCGTAGGGCATCGGCCTGACTTGACAATTTGTGGAGGACAGTAGTGTGGGATGATGCGCTTAGTTGGTTTGACCTTCTACAATCAAGCCCTGGTTATAGGCCGGCCAGAACATCGAAAGTCCGGAGAGTAATGCAAGATCAAGATGCCGGAGCTATACAAATCTTGATGATTGGTGACCTTGTCCATGTGTCAATTTGGAGACTGATAGGACCAGTGCTGCAGTCTGGCCTGTTGAAACTGCATAGCTTGACATAGTTTGTAGCTCAGGGGATCTTATGTTGTTCTGCTGCTGTGCGCTTGAGCAAGGGGCCTAGACGCTGGCTCAGAGCCATTTTCAGTGTATTTTTCTGTGCCGATGAGGGGGCGAGCATTTAATGGTTGGCAGCTTGCAAGATTTTGGGATAACCGGGTTTGTGGGGCAGACAAAGCAGGCGTGATGCATCCTGTGAAGTACAGGCCTTCCAGTGGGCCACTGCGGTTGGTATGTGCAACTGCACATAATGGCTCCCGTAGCGGCCGACCACTGTACAGCAGGACTATAGCAAAAGGTCTGGCCCCCCTGGGGCCCCCCCTAGTGGAGGGTTCGAGCCTTTCTTTGATCCCGGCTTTGCTGTGACATCTGCAGCCGAGTATGCGGCAACGGGCACGGGTTGGTCCGGAAGTACAACCTGAACCTGTGCAGGCAGTGCTTCAGGTCCTACAGCAAGGACCTTGGATTCATCAAGGTGAGAGCCGGGGCTGCGGGCGGGTGGGAGCCGCCAACCAGAACACCCACGTGCATTCTCTTAATGGCGGGGACTGCACACAGAATCAGGGTCGTCAAGCAGTTGCATGTTGTAGGGAGGCTCCCTTTTCCACATTCATCTTACAGGCAGGATTTTGTTTGGCTGCAAGGTTGTCCGGGAATTTGTCATGTATGAGTGAAAGGCTTTTTGTATGTCTTGCGGCAGGAAAGCTGACTTCTATTCGTCTTCTTGCAGTACAAATAGACATTTTGAGAATCTGTGGAGCACGGAGAAACTTTGGGAGGAGGAGGGCGGACTGCCAGCCACGAGATGGACTGATTCATGTGAGGCAATGTTTGCATAGCAGTGGAACTTGTGCAAAGTTGGAGGTTTCAAGGATACAATCAGATTGTCTGTTCCAGCCAAAGCCCTGGAACGACGGCAGCTTCTGCTCGGTCAGTCTTCCCCTTTATGTGACCATGTCATTGTCCTTTCCCATGCAAGCATTCGTTTCTTCTCTCAGCTTTTAACTATGGAAGCTGAACGTCGGAAACGGGTTGGTGCACCAGCAATGATCCAGCAGCCAGCAGCCAGATCCAGTGGCACGTGGCTGAATGTGGTTGGCTGGTCATCTGGCATCTATTAGGGGCGTCCTTCACAGACTCCACTGACCATGCATGATCTTGTGAGAGACAAAATACTTTACACTGGCCATGGTGCTGGCCGGCTTCATTGTCCTTGTTTTTCACTTGCATCATGGACTATTGCAATGGTGACCCTTTGCGAGCCTGTGCATCGGCGTCGACAAGTTGCATGCTGTACCCATCATTGCGACCAGTGCAGTGCCAGGGCTGTTGCATACCTCCATGCTACATACGGCCGCTGGCAGCACTATACAGACGTAGGCAAATGTTCAGAGTGGAAGCAGGCTATGGCCCATCGTTCAAATGGCCACGACCGAGACGCATCGGATTGAAGATGAATATTAGCAATTCGAATTCCGCAGCATTCAATCATATGCGCAACGCAAACTTAGATATATGAGTCTGATGATCGATCTGAGCCTATAGCGGTACTAATTCACACTGGTACGCGTGGTCCAATATATGTCCATCTAATTAAGCTTGACCGCATGCGCGCTGCTGCAGGCATGGATGCCGCGCGCCCATGCAGTAAGTCTAATAAATCTGGTAAATAGCTATCATGGCGCCAGCGCGCATAAAATTTGAGCGCAGGCGCATACTATGATAATCTGCTGGCCATGCACATGGTGAAAGTACCTGCTCGAGATCCGACGCGGTTGAATGAAAGCTCGTAAATGCTATATATCCGACCAGGACGTGTTCTATACTAGCTGTCATCCCTGGCTCCGTGGATCGTGACTCAGTAATGATACTATAATGTCGCTGGGCAATGATGCACATTTTCAATATGTACGTACGTACTAACTGCAAGTGGATCCAAGTTTCAAAACGAGCCTGGCTGCCCGTGAATATTGGACACGTCTTGCTCGTTGAATGATGCACATTTATATCGGCAGTCATCTGACCGGGGCATAATTGCCACTGAACCATCTGAAAACGTTTCTTCGACATAACAATCTGTGAAATACATTCATATAGGATCGGACTCGAAAGCCGGGTCTGCAAATCTTACGTGCATGATTGATCTCTTTAATGACATCTGCCCCTAATCAGTAGCCTTTCCTCCGCCCCGGGAGCGAGGCCTTTCAAAGCTGCTAGAGGCTGGCATGTCGCCCTCAAACCCCTGGTTTGTATCGACGTTCTTTCGTTGGCTCCTAGACATAAGGGTAAGGTCATTTTGTAGTGGACCCCCTATGTTCAGTCCAGAGCCCCTCGA